GATTGTCAAAGTCCCTTCACCTTTGAAAGATCCCTTTCCCTCACTACCTCTACAAAGTCCTGTTGTATAGCAGGCTTGGGAAACTGTAGTCTTTAGTTGATAGTCTTTAATCTCACTTTCCTTTCTACCTCTTCTTTCTATCAGCACCTCTGAGACCCTTTCCTACCTGGTTAAGTTCAACACTGCTGTCTTAAAAGGCTCACCTCTGAAAGCTGGTGGACTCTGGAAGTTTCTGGAATCTGGACACATTGGCTCCCTTGTTTCTGAGAGGGTAGGTAGCAATGGGAGTCTGAGAGCGGTTCTTATGTGTTTTCCAGATCAAGACTCTTTCCCCAAGCACCAGAGTTAATAGTCATGGTACTGGGCTCAGATAGGATATTTAGCTCTTTCTAAGTCTCTTGGGATAATAGTCCCACAGTGTTTTCCTCAAGACACAATTGTTTTCACATCCTCAGATTCAATGAGGTAAATGGGGAATAGGCAGGCAGCTCTGAATTTATTTTTTCCCTCTCTTTTTTTTTCTTTCAAGTACCTCTTTGGTAAATTCCTACACTTGGGATTTTGGCTCCAGAGAGAGGCTATTTCCAGTGAAAACAGATCTTGAGGGCCTCCTGTCCTCAAGAGCATGAATCCAATGCCAATATTAATTTGAATGAATGAATAAACTTTGGATTTTTAATTTGTAAAAGATATCGGGATGTTCACAGATCTGTAGGGAAAGCTGAAAAAACTAGCCAGGAATAAGAACAGTAAAAAATTCTGTACAGTCAGAGATAGAGTAAAAAACAACACATCCCTTCTGATGGTTACATTAGAATGCTATGTATATGCCCAGAAAGCAGTTTTCTACTATATGGTCTGAATATTTGTGTGTGCCCCTTCTTTATGTATTTGTAGCTAACTTCCAGCTGATGGTTTTAGAAGGTTGAGCCTTTGGGGTGTGATTAGGTCTTGAGGAAAGATACCTTATGAATAGGATTAGTACTTTCATCATCCTGTTATTTGTCGATTGCCTCGAGCAGGCCCCAGTAACGTCTCTTTCATCCTAGCCCTGAGATTATATTCACGGCTCTTTAGGAGAATGAGACCCATCATTGTTACTGGTATTTGGCATATTTGGTACGCCACCGGGAGTTTGCCAGACTCTGCCCTGTGGGCAGGCTACATTCGATAGCCTGCAAGTTTGTCCAAAGTAGGAATGAGATAATAAGATGTCATAAAAAAAAGTTCTGATAAGATGTCGCACGGCTGCAATGGATTTTATAGTCACTGAGTCTTGGCGTCCCCTTGGAGGGGAGCGGGTCGAGCTTTCCTCCCCGCCCTGACCGGGGCTCCCGCAGCCGAAGACCTCCAGGACCAGCTACCACCATGTTGAGACCACTCTCCGCACACATGAAGGTACTGGCAGAGGAACAAAGCCACGCGGGTTCCGGGGCCGAGACCTCCAAGCCTACTCTGATTGGAGTCGAGCATCTTCCATCCAGATCCTTCAAATTCCAGCAGGCGGGGGTCACACCCACCACCTGGCCCCCTGGCGCCGTGTAATCCCATCAGGATTAGTACTTAGGAAAAATAAAAGTCACAAGAGTTTCCTTGTTCTTTCCCTCTATGAGGACATGCAAGAAAAGAACCCATGAAATGGGTGCAAACCAGAAACTGAATCTTCTAGTGTCTTGATCTTGATCTTGAACAGCCAGCCTTACTAGTTTATTATGGCATTTTGCTTAAAGGAACTAAGACTACAAATACTGTCTCAACATGGGTCTTCTAAGAAAGCAGAGCTTAAAAGCAAACATTTAAACCAATATTTTATTTTGGTTTGGTTTTGTTTGGGGCTCACACCCAGTGGTGCTCAGGACTCCTGGTTCTGTGCTCAGGGATCATTCCTGGTGGACTTGCGGACCATATGGGATGTCCAAGATCAAACCTGAATTGGCCGTGTGCCAGACAAACACCCTACCTGCTGTTCTATCACTCTGACCCCTAAGTCAACATTTTATTAGCAAAGTAATAATCTGTAGGGGGTAGGGAGATGGTAATGGCAAAAAAAATGAGAATAGGCTAGACGCACAACAATGCAGTGAAGTGCCTAAGTGCCAGAATGATTGTTCGCAGGAAGCATGGATGAGCTAAATGCTTAGGTACCTAGCACACCTGAGCCTCAGTTTAAACCATTGTGCTTATTTGAATTTTGTTCTCCCTGCCCCATGTAAATATTGTATTCTATGAACTTCCCTCTTTGTACTGTGTCTCACATGAGTCGATAGAATCACATCTTTATTCTTGTTTCCAGACATCTCACTTATCCAAGAATTGTTTAATAGTAGGTTGTCTGCATTTTACCCAGAAAATACTCAACTTTTCTTTAATGTATAATTTCTACCTTCACTGCACTGCAGTTTGAAAAGATCTCTGATATGACTTAAATCTTTATAGCTTTATTGACTCTTCCTTGTGCCCCAGCATGCAGTCTATCCTGGAGAATATTCTATGTGCACTGGAGAAGAAAATACATTTGGCCTTTGGGAGGTAAAGAGCCCTATCAGTGACTATTTAGCACAGTTATTTCAACTCCTTATTGATTTTTTATCTTGTTGATCCAGTCAATGGAAAGAGTGAGATGATGAAGTCTCTTACCATTGCTGTGCTCTTTTCCACATCTCTCTTTAGGCCTGTTAAGAGTTGCTTTATAATTTTGATACTTCTTAATTTGATGCATGTATGAATATTGTCTTCTTGATGTATCACGGTATCACTGTCATCCTGTTGTTCGTTGATTTACTTGAGCGGGCACCAGTAACATCTCTATTCATCCCAGCCCTGAGATTTTAGCAGCCTCTCCTTACTCATCCTTTCCAATGATTGGAGGCTCTTTCAGGGTCAGGGGAATGAGACCTGTTATAGATACTGTTTTTTTGCGTATCGAATACGCCATGGGGAGCTTGCCAGGCTCTGCCCATGCGGGTGGGATACTCTTGGTAGGTTACTGGGCTCTCCGAGAGGCATATATATGATATATATTTATATATATAATAAAATATATTAATAATATATAAATATATTATATATAAATATATTTATAATGTATAAATGGGCTGGAGTGATAGCACAGCGGGTAGGGCGTTTACCTTGCATGCAGCCAACATGGCTGACCCGAGTTCGATTCCTCCGCCCCTCTCAGGGAGCCTGGCAAGCTACCGAGAGTATCTCACCCGCATGGCAAAGCCTGGCAAGCTACCCTTGACGTATTTGATATGCCAAACATGGTAACAGCAAAGTCTCACGATGGAGACGTTACTGGGTCTGCTTGAGCAAATCGATGAACAACGGGAGGACAGTGACAGTGAAATATATATATATTTCTCTCTATGATTTGTTGCCTACTATCTGAACCCCATCAAACATGGTGTGGTAATTATGGAAAATGGGTAGGAAGTGTTTTATGATGTGTTCCATGGCCCAAAGATTTGGAAAGCAGCCTGGCCTGGAGCATGGTGGCAGTTGGGTAGTGGAGATCGGTTGCCAGGCCAGGTCCCTTGGGGTGGGGAAGGCTCTCACCCATCCCCCTCTGGGGTGCCCTGAGTGAAAACAGCCTGGCGTGAATGTATAAATCTTGATGTGTAAATCCCTTAATCTTTATACAATGTCTGTCCCTGTTTATGACCTTTTTTGGAATTTATTTAATTTTTTTCTGAAATAGATAGTATGACTATTCCTGCCTTTTTCATTCTACTATCTTTCTAGATGATCATTTTTCTTTCTCTTTTCCTCACTGGAAACTCTGGGACAGTGGAGCCTCCAAGATGTCCCAGGTACAGCAGAGATTGAGCTCATGGGCTCCTCCTTGCCTTGAGTTTCCTTCAACAAGGAGCCATTTCCGGGCCCTTTGTCTCAGCTATTCCAAACAGTAGAGTTGCAATCACCTTAACACACACACACACACACACACACACACACACACACACACACACACACACAGAGCAATGCTGGGGTTCAACTTGCAACCAAGCAGTTACTACGCAAATGCGTTAAAGTGCCACTGAACCATCATCTTCTGGGTTAGTTTTTCGGTCCTTATTTGATCATTTGCAAGCTATTGGCTTTGAGCCTGTACTTATCATTGACATTCCAGTCAACTGTGAGCGCCAGAGAGGGGAGCTTACTCTACTTGAGGGTTTACGCATGGCTGCTGCCCAGGTATGGAAGCCAGACTGTCCTGAGATGGAGCAGTGGCGCCACCTGCTGAATGCACCTGGGAGCAGCAGTGATGAGGAACCTCCTGAGTCAAGACTACAAAAGCCCCTGGAAAGCCACGTGAATCCCCTAGCTTGGTCTGCACACAGTAGGTGCTTAGTCAGCCTATATTAATTCCAGACCGTTTTCTGGCACTCTGAGTGAGAGAAATTAAAACTGCTAGTTGGGCTGGAAAAAATGCTAGTTGGGCTGGAATAGGACAGAAATGGATACCTATTTTTTTGCTAACAAAGTAAAAATATTTCCAATAGGATTAAAAAAAAAACCAGATGTTTTATTTTTTATGTGATAATGGAGACAGGCATACAGGTATCTCATTTGAACAAAGCAGACACTGGTGTATAAAAACGATATAATACTACTTTCCTTTTGGCCATACTTGTGCATCTAAAACAATACTAAAATCAATCTATTCAAGTAAAATATTATCTTTATAAATAGTCCTTAAAGCCCAATTCAGAGGATGTATTATGATCAAGGCCCCATCCATGATCGTCATCACGGATGCAGGAGCGCAGAGTGCCTAAGAAGGTGTTGGTGGTGGTCCTTTTTGAGCAAATTCTAAGAGTTTTGCCCAAATTTTCAAATCCTAGTTAGGAAACTGCATATAGAGAGTGTTGGTAAATGCGGCCAAACGTGCGGTATCAACTGCAGAGCGTGGGAACTGGTGAGCATCCTAGATTTATTGTTTGGAGCACTTCATTGTCAGAGCAAGGAACAACTGCCAGGTACCCACGGCTCGGGCCTCAACGGAGGTCAGAGCCAACTTTGCCGACCACCGCGTTTCTGAGTGCGCCTTTGACGTCCTTGTTCCGAAGGGTGTAAATCAGGGGATTGAGCAAGGGGGTGACGAAGGTGTAGACCAGGGCGATCTGGCGGTCCTCATCCTCCGTGGCGCTGGAGCTGGGGCGCAGGTACACCAGGCTGCAGCAGCCGTACTGCAGCAAGACCACGGTGAGATGCGAGGAGCAGGTGGAGAAGGCCCGGCGGCGGCCGGCGGCCGAGCGGATGCGCAGGATGGCCGCGCCGATGAACACGTAGGACACGCAGATGAGCAGGAAGGGCAGCGTGAGCACCAGGATGCCCACGGCGTAGAGCACGGCCTGGTGCACGCGGGTGTCGGCGCAGGCCAGACGCAGCACGGGTGGCACGTCGCAGAGGAAGTGGTTGATCTGGCGCCGGTGGCCGCAGAAGGGCAGGGTGAAGATCAAGGACGTGAGCTGCAGGGAGAGGAAGAGCGCCAGGCCCAGGGCGCCCGTCACCATCTGCACGCACAGCCTCCGCGTCATCAGGAGCGTGTAGTGCAGCGGGTGGCAGATGGCCACGTAGCGGTCGTAAGCCATGACGGCCAGGAGAAAGCAGTCCGTGCTGCCCAGGGTGACGAAGAAGAACATCTGGGCCCCGCAGCCCGCCAGGGGAATGGGCTTCTGCGGCCCGGAGAGGTTGGCCAACATCAGAGGCACCACCACGGTGGTGTAGCAGATCTCCAGGAGGGAGAGGTTGCACAGGAAGAAATACATCGGGGTGCGCAGGGAGCTGTGCGTGCAGACCACCGCGATGATGGCAGTGTTGCCGCACAGGATCAGCAGGTAGAGCAGGAGGAAGAGGAGGAAGAGGAGAGCCTGGAATTCGGGCACCAGGGTGAAGGGGCGGAACACGAACTCGGTGGGGCCAGACTGGTTGAGGAGGGCAGGACCCCGGGCGAGCATGTTTCCTGCAAAGCCAAAAGCCAGGACAGGGCTCAGGGGACCTCACGGGATGTTGGGATCGCATCCTATTGCTCGCTACCTACCCGATATACTATCGCTCTGGTCCCTGTTGTTGTTGGTGTGTGTGCGTGTGTGTGTGTGTGTGTGTGTGTGTGTGTGTGTGTGTGTGTGTGTGTGTTTCGAGATAACAAAATAGTCCTAATAAATTTCTTTTCAAAAACATTTTGAAAGAAAGAAAAGGGAAAAACAAACAAAAAAAGACAGAAGCCAGGAAAAGCCAGAGCTGCTGGGATCAGATTCAGGGATTTGGAATTTGAATTTGGAAGGAACCTATCCAAATTTCCAAGAGCCATGTAGTTAGTCTCCAACGGCAGTGCTGGGGAAATGAATTGCCTCCGGTGCATTTTTCCATGGTCAATGGTCTTCATGAATCGGAGGGAGGTTCATCTGAAAATGTTTCTGGTTCCAGTGGAAGGACTTTTTCATTTATTTTAAATTCCCCGCACCCAATTTAATACTTTTGTATTTATTTGCATTAATTAATCATGTATTAATTATAACACATGATCTTACTATTAGTAAGATCATGTGTTATAATTCTGTTGGCATGTTTGGTCTCAGTGTACACATTTTGGCATTTTTAATCCAAATAATAAAGCCTAGACTTTTGCTTGTATTTCATTAAAGAGTATACATATTTTCAAATGGATACATGGATATATTTTTTTATAAGCAGAAATATAACATGCTGCTAGAGACCTAAGGGTGCAACTTATTTATTTTCTACACAGTTTAGCACAGCAGTAGGACATTTGCCTTGTGCGCAGCCAGTCCTGCCCAGCCAGGTTCAATTCCTCCGCCCCTCTCAGAGAGACCAGCAAGCTACCAAGAGTATCTCGCCGGCTCGGCAAAGCCTGGCAAGCTACCCGTGACGTATTCAAGATGCCAAACACAGTAACAACAAGACTCAAAATGGAGACGTTACTGGGTCCGCTCTAACAAATCGATGAACAACGGGAGGACAGTGTAGTTGTTGTTGTGTTAATTGTATATATCCCCTCTTAAGCTTTTTCAATTTTATTTGGACTTAAACAACATTAGGCCAATGCCTCTCATATCAATCATTTCTGATATATATTCTTTATATATTTCCTCACATTTGAATATTGTGTTTTTTTTTTTAAATATTGTGTTTTAAATTTGCAACCATGAGCCTACCATTGAGGATCTGAACAAAATCATCAGAAAACTGCTAGAAAAGCAGGTAAAAATTAAAGTGGCTCAATATTAGACAAGAAAAGGTAAAAGGAAGCTAAAAATGATATAGAAGTAGGCATTAAATAAATGGCCTAATAAAAGTTTTGTAAGCACCTTAGAAAAGAAAAAAAATTCTTGTGAATTATGCACATCCGGGATGAGCTACAACTTTATTTTCAGCATAAAAATCCAAAAAACAATAAAGCAAGATCTTCAAAGTTATGAGAAAAACACATTCTTGTGAAAGCATTCCACACACAGACTTGAGTGATTTATGTTTCAAAGCAAAGAGAGATATTTTCTCATTTACAAGGGCTTAGGAAATATATTATTCTAAAATATGCCAAAAGCAATTTTTCAACAAGGAGTAATATTAGTGAGTTGGGAAAATAGTAAATACAGAGGGAAAAGCATTTGCTTTGCATAAATCTTACCTGGTTGATACCTTGAACCACATATGGTCCCCTTGGGCAACACCAGGATGAAAACCTGAATACTACTGGGGCGGGGGGTGACCCCAAACCAAAATAAAAAAGTAAATAAAATTAAAAGAAATGTTGATACTGTGAAGTGGGAATATGATATGGCAATGTGTATTTTAAAGAAGTGTGAAATTGTACCCCTATAATCACAGTTTTGTTAACTAACATTACCTCAATAAAAAAATCAATAAAATTTGCTCGATGATCAATTGTAGGATATACAATTCAAGATTGGCAAAGTTGTGATATAAAATTTGATATGAATTACCAATTAATCTGAATTTAATATGAGTTTTCTAAAAGCAAAACTATTCAAGAACAATTCTTAAAAACATGCAATATAAAAATTACAATAAAAATAATTACACTGCCACTGTCACTGTCCTCCCATTGTTTATGGATTTGCACAAGCAGACCCAGTAACGTCTCCATTGTGAGACTTGTTACTGTGTTTGGCATATTGAATACGTCATGGGTAGCTTGCCAGGCTTTGCCATGCAAGTGAGATATTCTCGGTAGCTTGCCGGGCTCTCTGAGAGGGGCGGAGGAATCAAACTCAGGTCTGCTGTGTCCTTCATGTGCAAGGAAAAGGCCCTACGGTTGTGCTATCGAATAGCAAATTTTTTTCATGCCATTTACTGCAACCTGGTTGGAATCGGAAGACATGATGTTGAGTGAAATAAGGTAGAAGCACAAAACCAAGATGATCTCACTTATTAGTGGTATGTAGAATAACTAGACAAAGAAACGTAATATGGTAAAGGGGGAAGCATAAATTATCCTTGACCCCAGAATATAGGGAGGAGTAAGACAGAGAAGGAAATAAATCAAGAGGAGAAGGAAGAAAGGGAAGTAATTAGAAAACAGGATAAAGGGGCATTGGCTGTACCAGTGATGTGGGACAGTGTGGTACAACCATATATCCAAAGCACAGACTCAACAACACTGAAAACAAGAGACTTAAACTACAACCCAGGACTTTGAAATGTGCTGTCAAGGTGGGGTGGGTTGGGGTGGGGTTGTGGGAACACTGGTGGATGAAAGTTTATACTGGTGGTGGAATTGGTATTGAGTTTTAATATGCCTAAAACCCAACTATCAGTAACTTTGTAAATATGGCTCTTTAAATAAATAGAAATTAAAAAATTCAAATAATTTATGGCAATTGACTTGGAATAAGGTGTGAATTTCATGCAGTAGCCATAAAAATTCCTAGAAGAATAAATAAATAAAAAGACAGAGAATTCTTGTTTTTTTAGAGTGCTGTAATGGAGCATAACTTGCACTCAGACAAAAATATATCATGAGGGGCTAGAGCGATAGCACAGCAGATAGGGCATTTGCCTTATATGTGGATGACCCAGGTTCAATTCCCAGCATCCCATATGGTCCCCTGAGCACCGCCAGGAGTGATCCCTGAGTGCAGAGCCAGGAGTAACCCCTGAGCATCGCCAGGTGTTACCCAAAAAGCAATATATATATAATATATATAATGAATAACATATTATAAAATACATCATAAAATGGGCTTTATGTATTTTACAAAATGTATTTTATAAAACAGAAACAAAGATTATAGCACACTAGAACAGAATCATTAATTGTTGATAACTCTTCCATACTAATTACCAGTTAGATATTCTTCTTTTATATTTATTAACTCATTCCATAAAGACATTCTAAACAGTAACTCATTTTTTTTTTTTTGGCTTGTTGGGTCACACCCAGTGACCTTCAGGGGGTTACTCCTGGCTTTACACTCAGGAATTACTCCTGGTGTTCGGAGATTCATATGGGATGCCAGGGATTGAACCCCAATCAGTCGTGTGCAAGGCAAATGCCCTACCTACTATACTATTACTCCGGCCCCCAAACTATTAATTCTTAAACTTGTTTTATGGGTGAGAAAATTGAGACACAGAAATCAAGTAACTTGGGACTTGAGAGATAGTACAGCAGATAGTAGGACCCTTGCCTTACTTTCTACCAACCAAGTTCAATCTCTTGCATCCCATGTGGTCCCTGGAGCACCACTAGGAGTCATCTCTGACCACAGAGCCATGAGTAAGATCTGAGAACAGCTGGGCGTGACCCCTAAACAGAAATGAACAAACAAACAGGAAGTGACTTGCTCAAGATCACCCAGTTAGTAGGTTTTGAAGTGGGAATTTGAACATAGGCAGAGCATCTCTAGTCTTTTCTCTTACTCACTGTATTAACTTGTCTACAATGCACACCAATTTCATTATCTATAAAATGGAACAAAAAATACATGTACTTACCTTTCAACATGAGACTTAAATCATTTTGTGAAATTGCCTAGATCAGAGTATGCATCCAATGTATGTTAACTATTGTCACTATCTCAAATCAATGAGAAAGAATCAGTTTTCTAATTATGGCAGTAAGACAAGGCATACGATTAAAAGCTTAGCTCACTAGTACACTATACATCTAGATTTGTTTCTGATCATTTAAGATTAAAATACTATTAAAGGTGGAAGAAAATGAGAAGACAATGTATGAATATTTTTTGAGATCTGAGGATACAACCAAATATTTTGCAATCAAATGAGCAGAGTTCATTCCATTGTTAATATTTTGAAAATAAACTTCTTAACTTACAATGATCAAAAATGCAATAAGATACTGGAGTGATAGTAAAATAGGTGGGCCTTGTGCATGACCAAGTTGGTTTTGATCTCATTATGGTCCCTTGACACTGCCTGAATGCAGAGTCAGAAGTAAGCCTCAAGTATCTTCAGGTGTGGCCAAAACAAAAAAAAAATGCAAAAAGAAAACTTAGAAAATAATATTTTACAATATGCAAAAGGTGAATCTATTCTTAGAAAACAAAGGATCGGAAAGAACAATTCTAAAATCAAATATATAAAAGCAAGCAATTACAGAGAAATCTAATTAGTATCAAATAAATACAACACTAAACAAAACCGGGTATTTATTTATTTTTTGTTCAAAAAGTGACAAGAATAGAAATATTAAGATTAAAGCACCAAGGAGAGGCATATTTCCAATATTGCTTGTGGAATTATAACATGCTATAAAAATTTATGACTTATATAATAACACTGGAAACTACAACATCCAAACTTAAATGTGCCTGCCACATTAGCAGACAACTGACCTATGCAATTTAGCGTGTGTTTAAGTGTGACAGGGTGTGCAATGAGAAGGAGGGGTGTTGAAGGACTTGAGGGAGGACTTGAGGGTACCCTGGGTGATGAGTGTGGTTTAGAAATT